GTTCAGCAGCTGGCAGCCACTCTCCCTGCCTGTGACCCCAGGATGCTTCCTGAGTAACCCATGGGGTGCTCCTTCCTCTCCCCACAGCGCAGGCTGGATTATGGGGGTGGCTGAGCTCTGTGCAGCTCATCTGGGGTGCAGAAGCACAAGGCTTGGCTCATGGTGGGGATGAGTTCAGGAGTGCAGTTTGTCGGTGTGGCTGTCAGCAGTCATTTCCTGCTTCCTGCTTTCCTGAGACTCACATCACTGCTCTCAGTGTCCAGCTGGATCCACCCCCCAACTGGCTTTTGCCATGTCTGTTCTTCATCCTCTTCAATGATCACTACCAAATGCTGGTGCCTGCCCAGCTTTGTGTGCTGCAGCCACAGCTCCCATCTCCCTGGGGATCCCTTGGTTCCCCTCAGGCAGGCTCTTGATGCTGGTCTGCATCTTTGTGTTCAAGCCTCACTGCTGCTGTATCTTTGTCCTTCTGACAGCTGCCTCCTTCCTCCTGCTGTGCCCCCCAAACACTTGTGGTTACTGCTGACACCTCCCTGCCCTGCCTGCCCCAGTAGCACTGTGTGCTCAGCAGGTGCCCTGCAAGCAGTGCCTCGGCAGCTGGGAAGCAGTCCTGACCCCAGGCATGCAGTGGGGATGGCTGGTGGCATTGCAGCTTTGCGATCTCAAAGCCTACACTGCTGTAAACTCCACAGCCAAGCTCTTGTTCTGCTGAAGTTCTCCATGTCCATCCTGTATGGTTCCTTGGCACAGGGCTCCTAGGTGGCAGAGCCCAGAGGGCTGTTAGCTTTTTCTGTTCTCTCTTACTGCTGTCCCTGCTGACCAGCTTGTCTGCGTGCTGCCTTCACAGGTTTTTCACTGCCACTTTAACAGCAACTTCTTCCCTCTGTTCCTGGAGCACCTGCTGTCAGACCAGATCTCTGTCTCTACTGGATCCTTCTTGCTGGGTGAGTCTCAGGTGGGACTGGAGGGAGCCACTGGGTTAGGTCCTGGTCTGATTCTGGATTTACTCTGCCCAGATTCCCTCTGAAGAGAGGTGTGCTCTAATGCAAGTCTCTGGGCTGTAAGGTTCACACATGCATGCACCCGATGGGAGCTCCAAGTCATCCTTTCTGGGCACAGAAGTAACTTGGAGCCTTTCCTCGTGATGATGAGCCCAGTGTGCTGCACTCTGTCCTAGACTCCACAGAGGTATTGCTCTGAGCATTAGTGGCTGCAGACAGTGTCCCCAGGATGCAGCAGGGAACACAGGCCTGCATTTAATCCCTTCCTCTCTGTGGCATGTGGATCATGTCCAGGTCACCACAGACACATGGGCAGCGGTCCTAGAGTTACCCTGGGAAGATTCTGTGTGGGCCAGGTCTGGTCACGTTGTCCTGTCCCTCTCATTGCTGCTCGAGGGCTGAGTCCCAGTCCCTGCAGTGACACTGGGCAAGTCTTTTCTTCTTCCTGCTCATGAGGTAGATGGAAGAAGGCCTCCTGCTGTAGGAAGAGTGTGTGCTGTGCCACAAAGCCACAGTAAATCTGCTGCAGCCCTCTCTATGTGCGTGGGGGCTGTTCTGTACTGTGTCCCCTGCAGCCCTGCTGGCGACAGTCAGCCTTGTTCTCTCTCGGTATGGGTCCTGGGGGCATGGTGGATATTGAAACTCCCTCGGGCTATTTGTGCCTCTCTTTCTGCTCAGGTGTTTCCTACATCGCCCCCCATCTCAACAACCTCTACTTCCTGTCCCTCTGCCGTCGCCTTGGGGTTTACGCTGTGGTGCGAGGACTCTTCTTCCTGAAGCTGGCCCTCAGTGTTGTTATGCTCCTGGCAGGACCTGATCAGGTGTATCTGCTTTGCATCTTCATTGCCAGGTAGGCAGACAGCACACACTTCCCCTTGCCCTCTGCCATCTGGGAAGGGAAATGTCTTGTCTCTGTCTTACAGAGAGGAGAGGGAGAGACAGAACAGTAGCCAGGGTCACACAAAAGCCATGTGACTGCCAGCTCTGTCAGCACCTGAGCATGGGACAGGGCACTCAGAAGCCATTAGCTGTGCCTGCAGCAGAGTGAGGGAGGCAGCAGTGTTCAGGAGGATGGAGACTGGGCAGGGCTGAGCTCCTTTCCTCTCCAGCTTGCCTGGAATGATAGCCCTCAGTGTGTGCTGCAGCTGCCTGTTAGCCACTGGCCTAGCGTGTCCTGTCCCCAGGCCTGTGTGGCAGGTCACGACTGATCCAAGGTGTCACTGCAAGGGTATACAAGCCTTGCTGCTAGCAGTGTTCCCCTCCTGTAGCCAGGGCTTCTAAAATGCTTTAAAATGTGAGGAAACCTTTCTGATGCTCTCAGTTTTCTCTGATATTTTACCTACTCCTGTCATTCTTGATGCCCCTGTTCAGATCTTTGCTTGTTGTTCTGCAGCAACAGGGTGTTCACAGAAGGAACCTGTAAGTTGCTCAACCTGGTGGTGACTGACTTGGTGGATGAGGATCTAGTCCTGAACCGTAGGAAGCAGGCAGCCTCAGCACTGCTCTTTGGGATGGTGGCTCTGGTCACCAAGCCGGGCCAGACCTTCGCCCCTCTGATCGGCACCTGGCTGCTCTGCGCATACACAGGTAAGGATGCTCCTGGAGAGGACAGACCATGCAAGTTCAGTGTCCTGTGCCCTGGGTGGGTGCTCTTCCAGTTGCTAAGCTGTGCCTGGTCTCTGCACCTCCAAGGCCAGTCACTCAGAATGGACAAGGGGTCCATCCTCACTGTCCCCTGTCTCACAAACTCTTCTCTGACACCAGGCTACGACATCTTCCAGCGCAACCCCTTGAGCAATGTGGTGAGTGCCCAGCCAAAGCTGGAATCTGCTGCAGCCTTGGAGCCAACTCTTCGCCAGGGCTGCTTTTACCTCCTCGTCTTCGTACCCATCACGTGCGCGCTGCTGCAGCTCCTCAGCTGGTCTCAGTTCAACTTGCATGGGAAGCGTCTGCAGATGGTGAAGGCTCAGCGCCAAAGCCTGACGCAAGGCCGAACACCAGAGGTCAAAATGATCTAGGGGTGCCTGAGCTGCGGGGTGTTGCTGGTTGCAGGCTGGTGCAGGACAGCAGGCAGAGCGCAGGGATTGCAGGCTGAGACACCCTGATGTTTACTATTCAACTGTGAAATGCTGTAATGCCAACGTTTACTCATTCCAGGAGGTGGTCACTAGGCAATGCAGAGAAGTTCAGCATGCGAAGGTCCTGGGATAGATTGCTTGGCCACAGGAGCAAGAATATTTTTTTCTAACCTGTCCCAGAGAGCAGAGGGGTGCCCATCCCAGTTGGGTTGCAGTGTGTGCTAGAGACAAACACATCACTGGTGCAGTTCTCGGCCCTGGGCAACTGCAGCCTCTCTGGCTGAGCAGGAGAAGATTGCACAGGGAGTCCATCCTTGATAGAGCTCTGTGGCTTTGGGGAGTGGAGTGGGAGGCTCCTGAGGGTCCAAGTGACCGAGGGGGGTGATAGCAGGACAGCAGGAGCAGGTATGAGAAGAACCTGAAGGCCTTTCCCAGTAACTGGTACAACCCCTCCCACATCCAGTGCTGCAGTTCTTGGACCAAATCTGCTCTTAGGCATTTCTTATTCCCAGAACAATATCCGCACAGACAGGGTCTGCTGGCTGTGCGTGTTTTATTCTGAAGCTTCCTCATTTGTGGCCTTGCAGAGGGAGTTGGTGCTGGGCTGGGAAAGGTGCTGGGCTTCAACTGGGCTCAGAGCCTTGAGCTGGAACATCTCATCATGTCTCCTGTTGCCTGTGTTATGGTTGGACTCGATCTTAAAAGGTCTCTTCCAACCAAATGACTCTTGTGGTTCCTTCCCCTCCACAGCTGCTTCCAGTCAGCACTGTCGCACTGCTGGGCTGTGGGGCTGAGACTGGGGAACCAACCCCCAAGGGAGCTGAAGGAAGTGCCTCCCTGCCCAGGGCTGTCCCAGGTGACCCTGTGAGGCTGCCTGGTGCCTTCCCCTCTGGCAGGGGGAGAGCACAGCCTGGAGGAAACACCAGGTCTTGCTTTTGTGCCTTCAATTCCTCTTTGGAGCCTGTCTGACACAATGCTGGGCAGTCAGGGGGTTGAGGTTTTGCCTCTATGGGGTGAGGCAGACACCCCAGCTACACTCTGCTTAAAATGGTGCCCTAGAGCCCCATCACCTCATCTGGCTGTTGAGCCACAGACTAGTCAGGAGCAGACAGGGCTGGCTGTCACCACAGGGATCCCTGAGGTGAGGGAGTGTCTCCTCAATCCCTGCAACATCTCTGGGGGCAGGCAGAAGAGATGTGCCAAAACTGAGCTCTGCTCTGTGCCTGCCTGCGGGAGGCGGGGGTGTGCAGGCAGCTTTTGGAAGCTGTTGTGCCCTTTGGGGTGTGCTGTTGTTTGTTTAGTGCCAGGTTCCCTCTGGGGTCTCAGCCTGCAAACCCGCCATTTGCCTCTGGACACGGCTGCCTTCTGTCTTGGACCAAGACATTCCTGCCATGAGGCTTCAGTAGCTCTTGCTGGTTCAATCATAACTTATTTGTGTGACTTCTAACAAAGTTTGAGAATGATTCCTCATTTCATAAATTAAAGATGATCTTTTCTGTATTGCTTGCTGATTTTTTTTTCCCAGCAGGGTGGATCTAACCAGGCTGGGTTCAGGTAGTGCTGCAGGGGCACAACTGTGGTTGTATGGGAGTATAAGGGTACAGCTCCTCTCCAGCAAAACTGGTTGCTAGGGCTTGCCTGTTTCTGCAGGGGGCAGAGAGATCAGTGGGCTGGTGTAGCACCTGCCTTTGTGGAGAGGTGAGACGCTTACCCCTGCTGCTCTGGAGGGCCCCAGGGACTGGCCTGGCTTGTTCCTTCACCAGCTGCTGCTGAAGGTGGGACAAAGGCTGGGGCCAGTTGCAGGCATGGGCGCTGTGACACCTTCCCAAGTGCCCTGGGCTGGCACCAGCTCTTCTCACAGCAGTGACATCAGTGGCATTGCTCCCCTCACCCTCGCTCAGCCAGGGCTGCTGTCACTTCCTGCACCAGCCCTCACTCGCAGCTTCTCTCCACCACAGCTGCCCTGGACCTGTCTGCAGTGAGAAACACATTACATTGCTGAGAAGAGCAGCTTTGGACATGACCAGTGCAGACCACAGCTGCAGCCCAGGAATCTCCTCCCTCAGCCCAAAAGCTGGGTGAGGCAGCCCAGAAGCTGGGTGAGGAATGCAATCCTGGACCATAGCTGGAGTCTCCCTGCAGAGACTGGCCAGCACCAGTTTTGCACAGGCAAGAGAAGAGCACAGGTTACCTCCTTAAAACTGCAAGTGGGGGAAGATGAGGCCAGGAAGCTTGAGAGTTGTATATGAATGACTTTATTTAAGTATGCTGGGCACCACCAGGCAACATGGTTTGGACAGTGCGTGAGGGAACAGTCAGGCTGATAAAACAAATACGAGATTGGAGGTGGCACCTTTCTGTCTGGTCACTGCAGGTTATAGAATGGAGCACTGCTGCTTCTGCCAGGCCAGCCCAGGGCTGGGAGGGGGAAGAAGAGGTCACTGCCACTGAGGGGTTTGCTGCTCCCTCTCTGCACACTGCAGCAACCCAGCAAGAACACAGCTGATTTTCCAGCAGAAGGCTGTGCGCTGGACAGATTCTTGCTCAAAAAACGAGCATGCTCTAATGGGGGTAGGTGAACAAGCACCCTGGCCTCAGCTGGGAAAACCACCACACCTGACTGCCCACAGCCTCTCAGCCCAGCGGTGAGCCCAAGGGTTGGTACCCACACTGCACATTCATCTCTGCTGGGGCAATGCACCAGCTTTTGCTTTCTACCTCTGCAGCAGCCCTCCAGCTCTTACCCCATCTCTGCACGTGGGGCTGACCCCCAGGTGATGTGCAACAACAAACAGAAAGGAGGGGAACAGGGAGGAACTGCCACCGAGCAACTCCAGCTCCACTGCAACTGCCAGGTACTGCAAAAAATTGACACTGGGAGGGGAAAAAAAGGAGCACCAATGCTTAAGAAAAACTTAAGAGGAAACAGTGGCCCAACCCAACACCAGCGGGTCTGTAGGCCTGCCTGTGGCTGTAAAAGCAGCAGAAGCAAAGGAGCCACCAGGTGAGCAGAAAGCCATATGCAATGCAGCAGAACACAGCTGTGGCAACAGCTTCCTGCTCACAAACCTGCTGCTCACACCAACATCCAGGTACAGTTTATTGTCCTCCCATTCAGGGTATCCACAGAGAACAGCAAGACGCCCCAAAGCGCAGTTACTGGGTGGTGTCGCAGGGTGGCCGGCCATGCTGCTAAGCGTGTGTGCTGTAAACAGTGTTAACGTGGAACAAGACAGCTGGGTAACGTGTTCAAAGAAGACCCAAAGCATAATTCCCAGGTGCTGTGGTCAGTATTTGAGATATGCTCAGACATTTCAATAAATAAAACAATTCTTACATTACAATGCACCTTTCCAATTATTATTTTGCCCCAGAATGGATAAAGTACACAGGAGCTATGCCTGGCTGCAAACACATGCTCCCTTTGCTCTGACATGGCAAGGAGGAAAATAACCTCAACTCTTACAGAGAAAGAACATGAGAACTCAGCACTGTAAATCTTGGCAGGTTGAGGGGAACACACAAGTGCCTTCACCCCCACTCTGGGGCACTTGCTGCCAGAGGAGAAAAGGTATTTAAAACAAGGTATGAGAGAATAACCGTCTAGTACAACGATAGCTGATTAATTTTGCTTTGTTCTACTCCATGCAATACAAACTAAGTCCTATCACCAACTTCTCCAGCTGTGGTGCAGACCCACACATCAGGCTAAGAAGTTCCACACACACACACACGCACTCACGCACCAAAAACCATGGGGGTAAATGGGCTTAACTGTTGAGAATGTGCTTTCTCTGAATAAAAAAGATATTAAAAACAACTTCAAAAACCTACTGATGGTGAAAACTACTGATGCTGAAGAAGAAAGTAGCTACAGGGCCTCAACTATGTTTCCAGACAATCCAGGCATTGCAGTCGGGCTGACGAAAGCCTGCGTGTGCAGTCTGCAGTGGTTGGCTCCCTTCTGGCTTGCTAGGCAGTTTCTGTAAGCTGTTCCCTTTGTTTTTGCTTGCTTGTTTGTTTTATAGTGATAAATGTGATTGCGATACAGAAATTAAGGGACTGAAATGAAAAAGGAATGGGCCATTCTGGAGAAATGCAGATTGGTATTTTCTCCTTTCCATTAAAACAAAAAAGAAACCAACAAAAAATAAAATAAAAAATTAAGAAGTTAGTAGTACTAAACCAACCCTCCTGCTGCTGTTGTCTTTGCTCAGTGACATCGGGGCATGCTGGCGCGCACATACACACACAGGCAGCTCTCAGACACTCGGACTCAGAAAAGCGAGTTTAGAACTGGAGTCTTCAGAGGAGACTGAGGACGGGTCCCAGGGCTAGAAGGTTTTTCGGTGGATGGCACGAGCTCCATCTTCTTCATATTCCTTTTTCGAAGCCCACATTTTCTTAAAGGTGTCCAGTGAGGCCAGGATAGAGCCACTGGGGAGAGACAGGCATGTTATGAGTTAAAGGAAAATGTCGGGGGCACTCTCGTCGTATCTCTGCAGAGATGAGCTGTCTCTATTGTGTGACACTTCCCCACATCAGAAAGGTGCTGAGCCTCCCAGTTACCTACAACAGGAATGCTCTCTGGACAGTCACCTCCTCCTTGGTAGCCTCAAACCTGCTGGCACTACAGAGCCTAGCACCACCCATCCCCTCCCAAACAACCGAAAACAAAACCCTCCCAACACACAGCGTGAGAAGGGACAGCAGTGCGAGTGCTGTGACAGTGTGAGTGCCCAAAGGCTGCACCTGCCCAGCCCTCATCCCGTTGCAAGACGTGCAACTGCGCAGTACGTACCCAATCCACGTGGAATACAATCTCTCCTGAGGAGCTGATATCTGGGAGGAAGAGAGCATCAGTCAGCACCTTCCCAAGCTCCATTCTGCTCCTCCTGGCACACTGCCCCCATTTCACTATGGCTAACAGCTGACAAACACAGGTATGATCTCTCTCACCAGAAAGACAGCCAGCAGCACCCCCAAAATAGCCACTGGGGTCCAGGAACCTGGTCAGGGGTCATGTTGTCAGAAACATCACCTTCTCAGTGATGAAACCAAACAGGTTTTCATCACAACAGCAAATACCTGTTGAGTTGTCTAAAGAAAGCCATTTCTGGTTTGAAGCAAATGGCAGCTGCACTTTCAGAATGCTTCTTTCATGGGGGCAAAGGCCACAGAACAACACACGCAGTAAGTGATAAACACCAAAGAGATTGCTCCTACCCTTATTTTGACGTCCTTCGGAGCTAGTTTCTTCACTTCGCTCAACAGCCTGTCACCAAAGCCTACACAAGAGAGAAAATGGGTAAGCTGAGCCCTTCAGCAAAATTCCAAATTCCATCTGCTAATGACGTGGACATGTCCTGTGCAGCCCTATTCAAATATCCCACTCCAGATCTCACAGAGACCCAGAACACAGCCAGTGAGATAACAGGATTTTGTCTCACTCAGACCTCAAACACTGGCACTAAGAGCTCTATCCCTCAGCAGCAACGTGAGATGAACAAACAAGACTTCAATCTGGGACCGCAGGTGGGCCAGTTCCCTCCTCCTTCCCTGGGCTGCTCCTCCTGTGTCCAGTCCATCGGTACAGGGGAGCAGGATTTGAAGGAGAAGACCAGGACTTATCTGGAGATGTCAAACCCGTGGATAACAGGCTGACAGATTTTGGCAGAGGATATCTTTTAGTCGATGGGGACCAGCTGAGCCCCAATGGGATGGGTAGAAAGCTTTCTGCACACATGTAGTTGACATTTCATGCAGTACGAGGACTGCTGGACCCTTGCACACCAGAGACCTAAAGGAACCTTAGGAGATGCAAGAGCCTTTTAGGTACCTGCTCT